CAGGAATATTGCATTTAAATCACCCCTGACAGATGGCCATCCAGCCTCTGTTTAAAAGCTTCCAAAGAAGGAGCCTCCACCACACTCCGGGCAGAGAGTTCCACTGCTGAACGGCTCTCACAGTCAGGAAGTTCTTCCTCATGTTCAGATGGAATCTCCTTTCTTGTAGTTTGAAGCCATTGCTCCATTGCGTCCTAGTCTCCAGGGAAGCAGAAAACAAGCTTGCTCCCTCCTTCCTGTGACTTCCTCTCACATATGTATACATGGCTATCATATCTCCTCAGCCTTCTCTTCTTCAGGCTAAACATCCCCAGCTCCTTAAGCCGCTCCTCATAGGGCTTGTTCTCCAGACCTTGATCTTTTTAGTCACCCTCCTCTGGACACATTCCAGCTTGTCAATATCTCTCTTGAATTATGATGCCCAGAAATGGACACAATATTCCAGGTGAGGTCTAACCAAAGTGGAATAGAGGGGTAGCATTACTCCCCTAGATCTAGACACTATGCTCCTATTGATGCAGGCCAAAATTCCATTGGCATCTGTGGTAAGCATCCTCAGAGGTTGTGTGGTTTGTTGGAAAGTGGAAAATTGGGTTTATATATCTGTGGAAGATCCAGGGTGGGAGAAAGAACTCTTGTCTGTTGGAGCTAGCTGTGAATGTTTCAATTGGCCACCTTGATTAGCATTTGATGGCCTCACAAGTTTTAGGTGTGGCTTGTATTTGCCTGGGAAATTTCCTTGTTGAGAGGTGACCAGTTGTTTCTGATTGTTTCCTGGTTGGAGTTTCCGTGTTATGTTATATATATATATATATATATATATTATTTCATCTCATGGTTTAATACATTTGTTATACATTGTTTGTTTTACAGCAGATACATATTATTCAATACAACCTACCATACTTTTGGCATCTAGTGTTATTTTTCTGCTTATACATATTATCTATCCTTCCGCTGTGCTCCCCTCCCCCCTCCCAAGCCACAGCTTTTACATATCATCTGTCCAAAATTTCAATTCTTCTTGTGGAGGTAACTTTTCTTCATTTTTAAATCCTTTTTCCATAGATTTTCTCCATGCATCATCAAAATCACTTTGTTTCCATATACCTCTTTTAAATACATGTCAGCTTATCATTTATTGCCAATTTCCATACTTCCTTGTACCACTCCTCTATTTGTATATTTATTTCTTTTTTCAATTCCTTGCTATAAGCAGTCTTGCTATTGTTAATAAATTTGTTATCGCATCTTTATCCTCTTTTTTCAATTGTTTATTATTATATAATGATAATAAGGGTATACTAGGACTTCTTTCTATTTTAATGCTCATTATATCTTCTATTTCTCTAAATACCTTCCCCCAAAATATATTTACATATTTACATTGCCACCACATATGTATATATGCTCCTGATTTTTGACATCCTCTCCAGCAATTTTTTGAATAGTTTTTATTTATATTTGCTATTCTTACTGGTGTTAGATACCATTTCCATATTTATTTTATTTTAATTTAATTTTATTTATTTGACTTGTATACCGCTACTCCCAATTTGGCTCAGAGCAGTTTACAGCAGTAGATTAAAACAATACAATCAACTTTAAAATACAATAAAACAAGAACAGACATAGTCCCGAGTTATTCACCCATCGAAAGCTTGTTGGAAGAGAAAGGTTTTACAGGCTTTCTGAAAAGCAAGTAGGTCTCGGATAGTTCGGATTTCAACTGGCAAGGCATTCCATAAATAAGGGGCCACGATCGAGAAGGCTCTATGCCTAGTAGAGGACAGATGATAAGTCTGGATGTTGGGGACTTCAAGCAAATTTTGGTCTTCGGACCGAAGTAATCTCTGGGGTTGGTAGGGGGATAAGCGGGCCCTCAGGTACGCCGGCCCCAGACCATATAAGGCCTTAAAGGTTAGTACCAGCACCTTGAAAGTAATCCGGTACTCAATCGGAAGCCAGTGCAGCTGTTGTAGAATTGGGGTGATACAACACCTCGCCGGCACCCCGCTGAGAAGACAAGTCGCCGCATTTTGCACCAGCTTCAGTTTCCGGATCACTGACAAAGGAAGGCCAATGTAGAGGGCGTTACAGTAGTCAAGCCTCGAGATGACCGTCGCCTGGATCACCGTAGCCAGGTCGTTCCTAGATAGGTAGGGAGCCAGTCGCCTAGCCTGACGTAGATGGAAAAACGCAGATCTGCTCACAGCAGAGACCTGGGCCTCCATTGTGAGCAGAGGGTCCAATAAGACACCAAGGCTTTTTACAGAAGGTGACGGACGTAGTGTCTCGCCATCCAGGGTAGGCAGCTGGATCTCCCTCCCACCCGGACGGCCCAGCCAAAGGATCTCCGTCTTCGCTGGGTTCACCCTCAACCTGCTGGCACGCAACCATCCAGTCACAGCCTCAAGGCACTGATGGAAATTTTCGGGTACAGAGTCCGGCCGGCCCTCCATCCTCAGAATGAGCTGAGTGTCATCAGCGTACTGGTGGCACTCAAGCCCAAAGCTCCGCACCAGTCGGGCAAGCAGTCGCATATAGATGTTAAATAATAGAGGAGAGAGAATAGCTCCCTGCGGGACCCCGCAAGTTAGCGGAGATCTCTCGGAAACCATCCCTCCCCTCACCACACGCTGTCCCCGATTCTGAGGGAAGGAGGACACCCATTTAAGGGGCATCCCCCTCACCCCAGTCATGGCTAGGCGGTGGGTCAATAGATTGTGATCGACCGTGTCAAATGCTGCTGTGAGGTCCAATAACACGAGCAGCGCTGATCCGCCTTGATCCATCTGGCAGCGAAGCTGATCTGTGATGGCAACTAGCACAGTCTCTGTCCCGTGCCCACTACGGAAGCCGGACTGGAAGGGATCAAGTCCGGCTGTGTCATTAAGGAACTGCTGCAACTGTTCCGCTGCTGCCCTCTCAACCACCTTGCCCAGAAACGGAAGGTTCGAGACTGGGCGGTAGCTAGAGGGAACCGAACTTGTAATAATTTTCTTAAACCTGTATTGATACATTTTTTAGATGTCTTTGTCTCCATGTTTGTTGCCACTCTGTTTCATTTATTTTTATCCTTAAATCTTCTTCCTAGACCTCGAGGATGTTTTTTGTTTTTCCTTTCTTTATTTCAATTATTATTTTATATATTTTACTAGTTATTCCTTTCAAATGTTCATGCTCCTCTACAACCCTTTGTATTATTTGTTCAAATTGGTTAAGCTTACTTCCGTTTTTATTATTTCTCCCAATTTTTAAACCATTGTTCTAATTGTATACAATTGAACTATGTCAATTTTATTTCTCTAAATTCTTCCATAATTCTTTCCTTCTTCATTTCAACCTGCGTTTAAGTTTTGCTTTTTACTTACTGTTATAATTTTAGAGTTGTTTAGTACTGGTAGCCAGATTTATTCATTTTCACAGTTTCTTCCTTTATGTTGAAATTGTCCACATGCTTGTGGATTTCAATGGCTTCTCTGTGTAGCCGGACATGGTAGTTGTTAGAGTGGTCCAGCATTTCACCTTATGCCTGGAGGCTCTGTCGAACTGGCTATGTGCTAGCAGACTGAAGGTGAATCCGGTGAAGACTGAGATCCTGTGGCATGGCCGCCCGATAGGTCCGACCCATCCGTTACCTACCTTTGATGGCGCTGCTCTATCTCCATCGCCTACCGTTAAGAGCCTAGGTGTCATTTTGGATTCGCAGCTGACGATGGAGGCTCAGGTCACTGCTGCCAGCAAACAGGCCTTTTTCCATCTACGACAAGCGAGGCAACTGGCACCTTACCTGTCGGATGAGGCTCTGGCAACAGTCATCCATGCCACGGTCACATCTAGGCTGGACTATTGTAACGCCTTGTATGTTGGCCTTCCTATTTCTACGACCCGAAAGCTCCGTATTGTCCAGAATGCTGCAGCCAGGTTACTCACAAAAACGCCCATGAAATGCCATATAACACCAGTGCTGCGGCATCTACACTGGCTCCCAATTGAGTATCGTGGTTTGTATAAGATGCTGGTCCTGACCTTTAAAACTTTATATGGCCAGGGTCCATTGTATCTTAGAGACCGTCTCTCCTTCTCCCATCATCGGAGGTCGCCACGACCATCCCAACGCGATTTGCTCTATATGCCGGGTCCTAGGGAAGTGCACATGAAGAGCACCAGACGCAGGGCCTTCTCTGTTTCTGCCCCTGCCTTATGGAATTCCTTGCCTCCCTATTTGAGAGCCATGCATGACTTAGGACCTTTTACTCTAGCACTTAAGACCTGGCTTTTTACTAGAGCATTTGACCCATGTTAATTTTAATATTTGTATGTATGTGTAAAATTTCTGCAATGTAAATCGCCTGGAGCATCTCGGATGGAGGGTGATTAATAAGTAATTAAAGATGATGATGATTATGATTTCTGTGTTCTCAAATAATATGCAGTGCCCAGGTCTTTTCTGCTGTATTGGGTTGATGCAGCCTGTGGTTTTTCATACCTTTCATGAACAATTATTTTTAAAAGTTTGAAAACCAAAAGCCACTATAACTGTCTTAAATAAAAACTTTGTGGGCAGGATTTTTCCTTGGCCTTGCCTTGTCCAAGTATGTTTCTGAGCATCTTACTCTCCAGTGTCATAGTAACGCATTCATTTGCATCTTTTTGTATGAGCTGTTCTTCTTACAGGATTAGCACCGAAAGAGGGCTACATCCTGGGACGAACAGTCCCAAGAGAAATAAATGGAAGGTTTTGTTTGCTTTATACAGAGCTCGGCTTTATTTGCACTTGGAGAGTGGGAGTGTGGGTGCATGTGTGTGCGCACCCCACCCATTGTTCGAAAAGTCTAAACAAGAGCCCACACAGAGGGAGAATAAATTAAAAAGGTCATAACAAATGCAAAATAGCAAGGAATGCTTTGTGTTCAGAAAGTGTTTGCAACAAAGCTGATCGTAAATGCTAGGAAGATTCAAGGACTGCACCTGAAAAAGAAACTCAACACAGAACGCAGTTTTCGGGCATTATTTTATTAGAAATTTAGAATGAATGACCAATGAAAAAGGATCACAATGGTGTACCAAGAAAGCTCATGTATCAAAATTTTAGCAGCATTTCAAAAGTCTAGGTTCCCATTCTCCTCCAAACACGCTTTCCTTAAACCTGATCCAGTAAACCCAACATGAAAACTATCGCAACAGTATGTCTTTAGATGCCATGGAGCACAGTCCTCTTGAAAGATTTGTTTCATAAGCCCAATGGAAACCAATGAAAGCTGTATGAAAAACCAGATATATTCAAGAAACTGAAAGACTCCATGGCAAATGAAGGAACTGGATTCCACTAGCTGTCTGTTGGGCAATACTATCCTATTATACGAGGGGTATTTTTTAAGTAAGGTCCGTTTTGTTGTAGACACTAGTAGTTCGCGCGTATACCGAAACGAGCACGTGGGTCGTGTACTGGCATGCCTCGGGAACAACTGTGCTCAGTTTCCGCTCTGTAGCTAACCTGTACGGTTCTGTTCTGTGCTTTAAAAATGTTTAAGACTATCAACTCACCCTCCGCATGTGAGGTTCGCTCAGTGATACGGTTTTTGTCAGCAAGGAGCCTGCCTGCTGCAGAAATTCATCGACAGATTTGTGAGGTGTACGGTGATACTGTTATGAGTGAAAGCAAAGTGCTTAAGTGGGTACGACAATTCAAAGATGGCCGTGACAACACGCTGTCCGGTCGCCCTTCTTTGATTACACACGATTTGGTTATCGGAGCATGCGGCAATTTTTTATGAAGAGGGTATTTTAAAATTGGTTCAGAGATATGATAAGTGTTTGAACAAACTTGGCAACTATGTCGAAAAATAGAGTGAAGTATGTACTTTCTGAAAATAAATTTACTTTTTTGAAATAAACTTTCGTTGTGTACTTATGTTCCAACGGACCTTACTTAAAAAATACCCCTCGTATTACTGGAAAAAGACCTCATCCAAGGCATGTCTAAGGAATTGCAACATGTTGCAGTTGTAGGGCCAGAGACCCTTCTAGGTCTCTTCAGTAGTGTCATTATTAAATGTTGTTCATAGGACTAGCAAACTAGGATACCTTTTCAAAAAGAGGGTTTTTTGGACTCCTGTCTGCATTATCAATAGCAATACGTTACGTTTGAAAGCACTTCAAGTTCCTAGTGACACCAGATACTCCACAGTGCAGCTTTTTCCTATGGCACTACTGCAGTGGAGCAACACTGGCATAAGAAGCTGCAGTGTAGACTCTTCCACGGGAGCTGCAGAGATCTGATATTATTGGGAGGCAGGAAGAGTTATGCTGCAGCAGATCTTACTCTGCTCAGGGTTAACATCTGAATTAGATCTTATAGTTGTTCCTTTGTTACAAAAAGACTGTTTCAATCCTCTGCATGATAACCATTATAATAGCCACGTCTAACATGGGAGATTGACATTAGATAACACCTCAAATGAGCCCAATTTGTTCCCCACTTGTTTAGATGCTGGGCATATATGACTACAATTGTGCGTGGTATCATCATTCCCCAGTTGGCACTGCATAGTTAAGACTTACTGGAGGCAAAAGGAGAAGCAAACAGAATGGGCTCAATCCTCGTCTTTTGCCCCCTGAACTTGCTGATAAATGGGAGCAGAACTGGATTAACATACAAGGGATGACGAATAGATGTTTGAAGACAATTCGGGGTTTAACACATAAAGCCGAACTTTTACTAAATCTCATGTGGATAATATTTGCTATATAGACTGTAACGTTACGACACTTTGCTAGTTACAGTTAACAGGAGTGATATCATCCCAGCTTTGCTGATGGCTGATGGCAGAAAATAATTTCAATTCGAAACTTACATGGAGGGGAGACAAACAGCACATACATACACGGAGAGACATATAATGTAATACTGACAAGCTATTCCCCTTCTTTGGTACTTTCTAAACTTTCTTATCCAAAATATATCAGGGAAATGCACCATTAAAAAGCTACTTTTTAAAAAGTATTTATAAAACCAATATTCATACAGTATTATACACAACAATGATATGAACCACATTTTTTAACCAATGTACTTCTGCGCGGTTTTGCTCCAGTATCATTAAACAGCATTTGTTTAAAAACTGCACCCATTTTGCACCTTGCTTTATCATATATCAAAGTGACAAATATCCCAGCTCTTCTAAAATATTTTAAAAATTGCCACCAAATGATACATTATGTACACATTTTTACTAAAGATTAAATTCTAGGCAATTATTTTCACCTCACTTATAATTTAAGGTAGTTTTACCTACTAGAAGCATATATATATATTTCTTTAATATATAAGAAAACGGCACCACGTGTTATGTCAACCAATGACACAGATGATATGTACAGCAGATGTTAAAGATACTGAGAATACATCCTTGTTGACTAACTGTAGCGTATGGTTTGAATAGGGAGCTCAGCACTCTCGAAGGAGAGATCTTGCCTTCTTCTATTTCAAAGAAAGACTCCCCTCTTTCCTGGAAACAACAACGAAATCAGACAAAGGGCAGGATACCATACATTAGAATTGCCATGACGCCAGCGCTGAATAAGCCAGCGACAGGAACTGTCACAAACCAGGCTAGAAAGATATTGCGGAAGAGATGCCAGTCAACAGCCTTCTTGGAGCGTATCCAGCCAACTGCCACCACAGAGCCGACCTTGGAAGTTTGAGAACAAAATCAGAATTAAATGCATTTAACATTGCTAATAGAGGCTTATCACCAGGGTGGCCATATGTGTTTGCTTTTAGTAGCCAGCATTATTTGTGGTTTCCATTACCTCATGCCCCAACGAATCCTCTGGCTTACAGAGATACCTTAGGGGAAAGGCTGGGTTGCTCTTCATGCCAGATTATGGAGGCATTTAGAGTTAGTAAATGGTGTACCACATGTCTCCAAAGCCCAGCATGAAGCAAAACCGATCTTTTCAGTATGTTCAGCGTGCCATGCATAAAATGAGACATGTCATGCCTCACTCCCCAATTTTCTCTGAAACATAAGCCTGGCACTTTGAGCATTGAGGCCTGCCAGTGGCCTGAAGGGTTTGTGATTGCTGCTGGCGACCAAGCATCCACATTTCTGGACCCCTGCAAAAAAACCAATGCCAGTCAGCTGATGCCCAGAATTATAAACCGACTGAAAGTGGTCACTGATTAAATATGAAACCATGTATCATCTTAACACAGGGATGGAGTTTTATGTAAAGCTGCCACAGAGGTTAAGCACTACTTGAGATGGGTCAAGGGATTGTGGCGCAGCTGGCTGAGTGTCAGCTGCATTCAGATCATGAGTTCGAAGCCAGCCCGGGTTGGAGTGGGTTTCCAATCAATTGTGTAGCCTGTTGTCGACCTTTGCAACCCGAAAGACAGTTGCATCTGTCAAGTAGGAAAATTAGGTACCACCTTAAAGTGTGGGGAGGCTAAATTAACTGATTTATGAGGCCATAAAGAAGACTCCAGCAAAGCATTCCAGCGGGGAAGCATGCGGGGAATGCGGAAGTGCTTCATCAGCGTCGCAGATGGACGATGAAAGCGACAGCTCCCCTGGCGGCCAGAAAAGTTAAATAGCCTCTGTGTATGTCTGTATATGTTTGTATGTCAAAAATTGGCATTGAATGTTTGCCATATATGTGTACACTGTAATCCGCCCTGAGTCCCCTGCGGGGTGAGAAGGGCGGAATATAAAAGCTGTAAATAAATAAATAAATAAATAAATAAATAAATAAATAAATAAATAAATAAATAATAAGGGACTGCATATGTTTGGTTTTTAGGAAGTTCCTTGCACTATTTGGATTTTATGCCATGTATTTTTTCTAGCTTTGATTGCCATCTGTCTCTTCTTTTTTTTTAAGGCCTGGGATTGTATATTTGTCATATGAATCCTCAACACTTTTTGGTGAAGGGCTCCTCTTTCAAATAAAGGCAACAAATGCAAAATGAGGCTATATGCAGATATCAATTTGTCCCTGGAGCAGAAAATAGTACAAGAGTGACAAAGCAAGATTCCACGAAGGAAAAAAGATAACTTGCTAAGCCTTGCAATTTGACAGAATATTTATTTAAGTACTCAAATTCAACTCTTGCATTAGCAAGAGCAAGAATTCTTTTTTGAGCATGATGCGAAAGAGATGCATTTCATCATTTGGATACTGTGTTATCTGATGTGCTAGGAAGGCTAATAGTTTGACAAAGGCAATATATAAAAAAGAACTTCATGTTCTGATCATTGCCATTTTAAGAATTCTCTAGAGGCAGGAAGAATAGATCTCCAACATCACATATTTGTTTGAAGTAGTACTATGTTTCCCAGCTCTAACTGTTCAACTCAACAAAGGAGTGAAATTTATCTTCCATGAGAAACTATCATTTTGTCTTGTTCCTCAATCCAATTTCCTTCCTAAGTGCCATGATGTCTGCTGTTTGCTTTAGTGCTATAGGTTGATGCAGGCTTTCCTATATGCCGTCCTGACAGCTTTTTTTCTTCTTCGTGTCAGGAGTGACTTGAGAAACTGAAACTTGCTTCTGATGTGAGAGAATTGGCCGTCTACAACAGGGATCCTCAAACTTTTTAAACAGAGGGCCATGTCACAGCCCCTCAAACTGTTGGAGGGCCGGATTATAATTTGAAAAAAGCATGAGTGAATTCCTATGCACACTGCACATCTTATTTGTAGTGCAAAAAACTCTTAAAAACAATACAATTCAATTTAGAGAGTGGGAACAGATGTGGACAAAAAATTAAAATATGTCTATGTGACAGAGTTAAAAGTAAACTGGATAAAAATGTTCCACAGATGGTATACCACTCCTAAAAAATTGGCTATTATGTATAAAAATTCTTCTGATAAATGCTGGAAAGGATGTCATCAGGTTGGTACCTTTTACCATATGTGGTGGACTTGTAAAGAAATATCGAAGTATTGGTCGATAGTCCATGAGGAAACACCAAAAAAAATGAAGAGAGTATTTAAAAAGAAACCTGAATATTATTTACTAAGCTTTACAGACTTGGAACTACAGTTGAATGAAAATGAGGATAAATTATTTACATTTTTTGACGACTGCGGCGAGAATAATATTAGCAAAATTTTGGAAACTGGAATTATTCCAACCTTGGGTGAATGGTTGGAAAAAATCAGAGAAATAAGAGAAATGGATGAACTAACTTTTTTCCTGAAAAAGAATACCGGGAATCCGATAAAGAGAACGGATTGGATTCTCTTTAGTGACTATGATCAAGGGTCTGGAGAACAAGCCCTATGAGGAGCGGCTTAAGGAGCTGGGCATGTTTAGCCTGAAGAAGAGAAGGCTGAGAGGAGATATGATAGCCATGTATAAATATGTGAGAGAAAGCCACAGGGAGGAGGGAGCAAGCTTATTTTCTGCTTCCTTGGAGACTAAGATGCGGAACAATGGCTTCAAAATACAAGAGAGGAGATTCCATCTGAACACGAGGAAGAACTTCCTGACTGTGAGAGCCGTTCAGCAGTGGAACTCTCTGCCCCGGAGTGTGGTGGAGGCTCCTTCTTTGGAAGCTTTTAAACAGAGGCTGGATGGCCATCTGTCAGGGGTGATTTGAATGCAATATTCCTGCTTCTTGGCAGGGGGTTGGACTGGATGGCCCGTGAGGTCTCTTCCAACTCTTTGATTCTATGATAAAGAAAGAAGAGAATAAGAGGAAATGGGCTTTTTTTTTTTTTTAAAAAAAGAGATAACTAATGAGACTAAGAACCTGAAGATGAGATGGAATTCAAATTTTTATATATAAATCGTGTTTTCCCCCTTTTTTTCTTTTTTCTTTTCTTTTTGGACTCTTGGTTGGGAGTGGGTTTCAATCTATCTATCTTTCCTACTTTACTATCTTCTTTTAAATATTCCCCCTCTTTCCCTGTAATTTTAGAAAACTTTAATAAAAATCATTTAAAAATACAATATTAAAATGAAGAACAATTTTAACAATATAAATTTACTAGTATTTCAGTGTGAAGTGTGGGCCTGCTTTCGGCTGATAAGATAGGATTGTTGTTGTGTGCTTTCAAATAGTTTCAGACTTAGGTTGACCCTGAGCGAGGGCTACGTAAATGACGTTGGAGGGCCATCTATGGCCCTTGGGCCTTAGTTTGAGGACCCCTGGTCTACAAGGATGCTGCCCAGGGGATGACCAGATGTTTTTGATGTTTTACCATCCTCATGTCCCTGCATGGGGAGCTGGAGCTGACAGAGAGAGCTCATGCACACTCTCCCCAGATTCGAACCTCCGATCTGTCGGTCTTCAGTCCTGCCAGCACAAGAGTTTAACCCATTGCGCCACCGGAGGTCCGGTGATCACCACTCAGAAGCTTTCTGCCTTCCTTTTGTTGTGTAGCAGCTAAATAAGAGCTTTTCCATGCATAAAACGAAAGAACTTGGGAAAGAGATGACACCGAATATGAATGCTTCTAATTTCTATTCCAGCATTTTTTTAGCTAGCTGGAACTTTGATCTATTAATCAAAAATACTGTACTACATATTATGAGTCCCAGAATTATATGAGATAATATTCCTGTTTTAGTTCTTCCCTATCCACATTACTTTGCAATCTTGCATTCAGTTCTTTGCCTTTCAAAGAGTCAGATACTGGTCCATCAAGCTTAGTCAAGATTCAAGTTTCTGACCCAGAGTGAGATCTCTTAACTTAAAAAACCTCAAATCCCTTTTAGTGGCCAATAAGCTGAGATTCAATAGTAGACTCCCCAGAGAGGAAAAGTCCATACTCTCACAATTGGATTCTAACACTGGATTTGTGTAATGTACTACAACTATACTGGAACTTACAGAAAATTCCAAGAATTGCTCTTACCGCAGAATGGTACATGTGAATATTAAAAGATGTGGTCCTCTTTGTTTAGACTTTCTTGCAATTTACAGATCGAGTCAGATAGATTACTGAGATGCAAGGTCCCAGAGGATTGATTCAATCCAATTAGCACTGATGGCATAACCCACTTAATATAACTTAGTAGCCAAGAGCCTGTCATGAGATCATGTTTGATCAAGCCAATTCCTCAGACCTGAGTCTTAAAATAGTTACAGAGGGAAATAACTGACTAAAATAAATTTTCTATCTTTGTGGTAAGTTTTGTTGTTGTTCATTCGTTCAGTCGTTTCCAACTCTTCGTGACTTCATGGACCAGCCCACATCAGAGCTCCCTGTTTGTCGTCACCACCCCCAGCTCCTTCAAGGTCAATCCAGTCACTTCAAGGATACCATCCATCCATCTTGCCCTTGGTCGGCCCCTCTTCCTTTTTCCTTCCATTTTCCCCAGCATCATTGTCTTCTCTAAGCTTTCCTTTCTTCTCATGATGTGGCCAAAGAACTTCATCTTGGCCTCCACTATTCTTTCCTCCAATGAGAAGTCAGGCTTTATTTCTTGAAGTGGTAAGTTTGCTTCTCTTTAACTGGAACTATACTTCGGCATGCACAGAGGCTATTCAACCCCTTCCCATGGTAGCTTCTATGCCACCAGAAACACTACTATTCCAAGATCAGATAGTCATCCAGAGTGGCATGCCATGAGGCAGGAGACACTGCTACAAGAAGCACATGAAAGGGTAATTCTCTTCCACATAGACACAGAGAATTGGTTTGCATATGAGCCTCTTTGGATCCCAGTACATAAAAAGAGTTAATACATTATCTCTTGAAACAAAATAGAATCATAGAATCATAAAGTTGGAAGAGACCTCATGGGCCATCCAGTCCAACCCCCTGCCTAGAAGCAGGTATATTGCATTCAAAGCACCCCTGACAGATGGCCATCCAGCCTCTGTTTAAAAGCTTCCAAAGAAGGAGCCTCCACCACACTCTGGGGCAGAGAGTTCCACTGCTGAACGGCTCTCACAGTCAGAAGTTCTTCCTCATGTTCAGATGGAATCTCCTCTCTTGTAGTTTGAAGCCATTGTTCCGCGTCCTAGTCTCCAGAGAAGCAGAAAACAAGCTTGCTCCCTCCTCCCTGTCTTCCTCTCACATATTTATACATGGCTATCATATCTCCTCTCAACCTTCTTTTCTTCAGGCTAAACATGCCCAGCTCTTTAAGCTGCTCCTCACAGGGCTTGTTCTATAGACCCTTGATCATTTTAGTCGCCCTCCTCTAGACACATTCCAGCTTGTCAATATCTCTCTTCAAATGCAGTGCCCAGAATTGGACACAATATTCCAGGTGTGGTCTAACCAAAGCGGAATAGAGGGGTAGCATTACTTCCCTAGATCTAGACACTATGCTCCTATTGATGCAGGCCAAAATCCCATTGGCTTTTTTTGCCGCCACATCACATTGTTGGCTCATGTTTAACTTGTTGTCCACGAGGACTCCAAGATCTTTTTCACATGTACTGCTCTCTAGCCAGGCATTGTCCCCCATTCTGTATCTTTGCATTTCGTTTTTCCTGCCAAAGTGGAGTATCTTGCATTTGTCCCTGTTGAACTTCATTTTGTTAGTTTTGGCCCATCTCTCTAATCTGTCAAGATCATTTTGAATCCTGCTCCTGTCCTCTGGAGTATTGGCTATCCCTCCTAATTTGGTGTCGTCTGCAAACTTGATGATCATGCCTTCTAGCCCTTCCTCTAAGTCATTAATAAAGATGTTGACTTAGATGAAGGGTTAGAAGGCATGATCATCAAAGGGAATATTCATGAAAAATATATTGTCGAAGGCTTTCATGGCTGGAATCACTGGGTTGTTGTAGGTTTTTCCGGGCTATATGGCCATGTTCTAGAGGCATTTTCTCCTGACGTTTCGCCTGCATCTATGGCAAGCATCCTCAGAGGTAGTGAGGTTGAGCCTCACTACCTCTGAGGATGCTTGCCATAGATGCAGGCGAAACGTCAGGAGAAAAATTGCCTCCAGAACATGGCCATATAGCCCGGAAAAACCTACAACAACCCATTCATGAAAAAGCTTTTAGACTTCCAGGCCTGGGGATGGATCAAATTATTAGTACTTCCACCATTTTCTTTCTAATGTTCATTTATTTTAATAGACAGGAACAGACTTAGGACAGATTGGGAACTAAGACAAAGGAAGAGACAAAATGGAAAAAAATAATGTTGTAACTTTGAGGTCTGAAAAGGATGTTTTTAACTGATTTTTAAACTCTTTTTATGATGTTGAGCATTGATTTTTGCTATTGTTAACCGCTTTGAGTCGCCCAAGGGCTGAGAAAAGCGGCATATAAATAAATAAATAATATAAAGGGCACCGCAATTTTATTAATATATTCAGCTTAGAGGATGGGTATCATAATTTGAGTAATTTATTTACACACACACCCCTCCCCCCCCCACGTACACACAGTTAAAAAGGGCATCAGTGGTGCTGACATTGGTAAATCCATTCCTAAGCATCATCTAGGTTTATTTTACTAAGTTTTGATGAGAATAGAGGTTAGAAAAGCAGAGTCATTGTTCACAAGTGACAATTTGTTGTCAAATGTCAGCTGTCTTTTGAATTGGCTTGAAACTAAATGCCATTTGCCTTCAGATGCTGCAATGCAGAATCAAGAGTGCTGTTGACTTTTACTGATGTGTACATGAAGTGCTCCTTACAATTAGCCATATCAAAATTCCCTTGTATTCCATATGAAAAAAATGTGTGTATGATTGGAAGGAGGATTCAAACTATAAAAATGTTAGTGCAATGTTAGCCCTAAGACGTCTAAGGCATAGAGGCAAGAATACTAAAAGTTAAGATGATTGACACTTGTTAATAGACTATTGGGTGAATTCTACAATGTGGCTAATAAGTAGCATTAAGAATAATAAGCTACCTATATTCTTTCCATTCTATAATATTTCAGAAAAAAATCAGCATTCTAATATTTGCAGAAATTTGCATGTCCAATTTTGGTAATACTTTATGTTTTGGTTTGGTTTTTTTGGTTTTTAAACTGCTTGATGTATTATGTTATGAAGGCAAAATGGAAAACAAGCCTTTATTATAATGTTTATAAAAGCTTGACTGGGTGTTTAACTGGTGTGACCACTGCAAACTCCAATACCTTGCAATGAGTGGAGCTTATTGGAATACCCACATTTGAGGCTACAAGTACGGTTAGCGCACACATTACTTCAATGCAAAATCCACTGTGAAGAAACAAAAAGACAAATGGGAGATTTTGTAGTGTAAAAGAGTGACACACAGGAAATCCCATGCCATGCATCCATCAGGAAAGTGGAAGGATGAAAGGTGAAAAGTGTCAGAACCTCTGGGCAAAGGAGGGGTGCATCAGGTCAAACTTTATGTGGCATGATCTGAGGAAAAATCCATGAAGAGCTAACCTACCAGCAGATTTAGAGACAACTTGTAATGCATAGTTCGGATTAATTCCCAAAGGAGAATCCCCCCCCCCTCCATGTACAAAATGCTAAAAAGTGGTCTCCTACTACTATAGGAGGGGAGAATGGTTGGGTCATTGCCAATCTTGTTCAGCACTGTCCTGTGCAACTTTATGGAAAGTTTATCGTTAAATAGGAAACAGTACACGTTACACTTTTGTACAAAACTCACTAATCTTTGCTTCTGTGGAACACTAATTAAAACTAACAAAAGCCAAATGGTAGACTGACTGACTGCCTTTTATAGGCAATATACGAGGGGTATTTTTTAAGTAAGGTCCGTTTTGTTGTAGACACTAGTAGTTCGCACGCATACCGCAACGAGTGCGTGCGTCGTGTACCGGCATGCCTCGGGAACAACTGTGCTCTTTAGCTAACCTGTACGGTTCTGTTCTGTGCTTTAAAAATGTTTAAGACTATTAACTCACCCTCCGCATGTGAGGTTCGCTCAGTGATACGGTTTTTGTCAGCCTGCTGCAGAAATTCATCGACAGATTTGTGAAGTGTATGGTGATACTGTTATGAGTGAAAGCAAAGTGCGTAAGTGGGTACGACAATTCAAAGATGGCCGTGACAACGTCCATGATGAGGACCGCTCCGGTTGCCCTTCTTTGATTACAGTGAACTCTTGGTTATCGGAGCAGGCGGCAAGTTTTTATGAAGAGGGTATTTTAAAATTGGTTCAGAGGTATGATAAGTGTTTGAACAAACTTGGCAACTATGTTGAAAAATAGAGTGAAGTATGTACTTTCTGAAAATAAATTTACTTTTTTGAAATAAACTTTCGTTGTGTACTTATGTTCAAACGGACCTTACTTAAAAAATACCCCTCGTATAACAAAGTAAAAAATAATGTGGATGAGCAGTCGATGCTAAATTATCTTTCATGGATACAGAATATGAAAAAGATGTTTGAGGAGGGAACTGAAGATGAGTCTCTTCGTGCATTTTACAACTGGGTGTGAAGATATTCCTGCCCTACCCACACTTATGGTATATTTCCTCATTATGGTATCATGCCACTATAAACTGATCTGAGCAGCAGAGTTTTAAAAAATGTGCAGTCCAGACCAGCCTGGCTGCAGTTACATGGCAAAGGCATACCTTGCAGTGTGTAGTACTGACAGGAAGTCCAACATTGGAAGCTATCACAACTGTGAACGCCGAAGCCAACTCAATAGTGAATCCACTGCAGGAAGCATAAGAAAACACTTCACAGTCACTCTTTTTAAAAAAATAAAATATCTATCAGTGTGGGCACCATGCAACATGCCAAAGTCTTACCAGCATTGCCGCCAACTCCTGTCCTCCGACTGATATTTGGTCATTGCATTATATTAAGAGAACAAGTTGCTGGTGAATAATGAAAAACTGTACACACGCATCCACATTATAGTAGCTGATCCATTCAATGCTACTGGCAATCTATGTCTACATTTCAAGAAATTATGCTTAATTAGTAATTAGGTTAGCAGCAGAGGTCTAGTATGCATTAAGAGCAAAAACAAAACAAAACAAAAAAACCCAGAGAACCATCATTTTAAAAATAACTTACAGCTTTCCCTCCACATTTGCAGTTTTTATATTCATGGATTTGATTATGGTCAACTTGTTGTGCATGAGGATATAGAGCAGACCTCTTCAACCTGTGGCTCTTCAGGTGTTTTGAACGTCAACTCCCAGGATTCTTGACCACTGAACAAGCTGGCTAGGGATTCTGGTTGGGATGCCCAAACACCTGAAGGGCCACAAGTTGAAGAAGCCTGATCTAGCAACTTCTCGGGATAACACTTCTCTAGGAATCTGGAGGTCCTCTGATAAGATTCTATAGTCAGCTATAGAGCATAAAGCCATGGTGGAAGACCTCGAAATTCCTAGAGAGGTGATCTCTTATGTAATAAAACAGCGTTTTCTTTGTATTGTTGAAGGCTTTCATGGCCGGAATCATTGGGTTGTTGTAGGTTTTTTCGGGTTATATGGCCATGTTCTAGAGGCATTCTCTCCTGACATTTCGCCTGCATCTATAGTAAGCATCATAGAATCATAGAATCAAAGAGTTGGAAGAGACCTCATGGGCCATCCAGTCCAACCCCCTGCCAAGAAGCAGGAATATTGCATTCAAATCATCCCTGACAGATGGCCATCCAGCCTCTGTTTAAAAGCTTCCAAAGAAGGAGCCTCCACCACACTCCGGGCAGAGAGTTCCACTGCTGAACGGCTCTCACAGTCAGGAAGTTCTTCCTCATGTTCAGATGGAATCTCCTTTCTCATAGTTTGAAGCCATTGTTTCACGTCATAGTCTCCAGGGAAGCAGAAAACAAGCTTGCTCCCTCCTCCCTGTGGCTTCCTCTCACATATTTATACATGGCTATCATATCTCCTCTCAGCCTTCTCTTCTTCAGGCTAAACATGCCCAGCTCCTTAAGCCGCTCCTTATAGGGCTTGTTCTCCAGACCCTCACAGTTTACTCTACTAACAATAACCTCACCTCCCTTTCTTTTTTGTTTTCTTTTTTTTATTTTCTTGGTGGGTCTGTAGATAGTTTGTATGTTGTGTTTCCTCATCAGCTTCCCTATGCGGTCAGTGGTTTCCTTCAGTGGTTCCCACCAAGAAAATCCAACAAATGCTACGTTCAGCAAAAGACACTTCTGCAGGAGTCTACCATATACCATGCAGCTGTGGACAAGTCTACATAGGGACCACCAAACGCAGCATTGCCCAAACACGAATCAAGGAACATGAAAGGCACTGCAGACTACTTCAACCAGAGAAGTCAGCCATAGCAGAGCACCTGATGAACCAACCTGGACACAGCATATTATTTGAGAACATAGAAATGCTGGACCACTCTCACAACCACCATGTCAGACTACACAGAGAAGCCATTGAAATCCACAAGCATGTGGACAATTTCAACAGAAAGAAGGAAACCATGAAAATGAACAAAATCTGGCTACCAGTATTAAAAAACTCTAAAATTACAAACAACAGAGAGGAAAACACCTAGCTCCAGCAAACAAGAGTCCTTTCTCCCACCCTGGTCATTCCACAGATATATAAACCCTTTTTCCTAGTTCCAACAGACCTCACTACCTCTGAGGATGCTTGCCATAGATGCAGGTGAAACATCAGGAGAGAATGCCTCTAGAACATGGCCATATAGCCTGAAAAAACCTACAACAACCCAGCAATTTCTTTATTTGCAGTTTTGCACTTTCACAGGGGTCCTCTGCCCCTAACCCCAGCAAATGTGGAAGGGTGACAGTATTTGATAGCTCATTGCGATTTTTGCCATTTTCTAATTTATTACTCTATATGCTTTTAAGACACCAACATACTATTCTGCGCAATTAGACCTCAACAATTAGTTTAAAAATGAGGTCATGCACATCACTACTCAAATCAAAAGCAGAAATCATTAGACACTCAAATGTTTACATGGAATTTTATGAGAACTCACAGCATTAGATGTTGGGACAACCAAAGCAAGCAGGCATGCCTTTACCTTGATGGGGTGATGGGAGTGAGGTCTTTCCCCATTGTTTGGATCACTCTTCGTCCCCAGACCCAAAGGCCTACACAGATGCCAACACCTCCATACAGTAGTAGCCAAACAGGAGTAGGAGCTTCTTGCAGTACCCCGCCTTTGTCATATATAAGCCAGAGGGCTACCAAAGGACCAATAGCATTACTGGAAAGAAAGAAAAAAACAACAATATAAGACTGGAGCTCAATGATCAAATCCTATAGTCTTCACTGAATTCCATACTGATCAATACTAATCCAAGGTGTAAGAATCCTTAGGAAAATTGCTTTATCCACAAACAGTAGCCTCATGCTATCTCCTATATTGCCTGAGTTCATTCCCATTTTTACCCCTGTTTTTGGCATACAACACCTAGGCTGTTCAAAACGTGCTAAACTAAAGCTGAATGACACTTTTACAAAAACCAGGAAGAAAACAGGAACCAATGTAGATTTATATCATTAAAATATTTCTGGATATTTGCATCAGTTTCTGTTACTTATACCAGAATGATGGGAAAATGGAAATATTTTAATAGGGGATTTTATAGTGTTGGCTAGCCATTTCGAGAATGCATCTATGCATGGAGGCGGCCTGGATTTTAAAATTAAAATACAGGAATTGTACAACCTGCTCTCTGGAATGCCCTCCCAGAAGAATTAAGAGCTGCACCATCCCTACTTAGCTTTTGGAAAGGTGTCAACATCTTTCTATTCAAGAAAGCTTTTGATTGATACATAGTGGGATCCTTGGGAATTTTAAGCTTGTAAATAACTGAGGCGTCTCACGTGGATATAGTGACAGATTATAATTTTATTGTTTTAATTGATGCATACTTTTACCATGTTTTACTGCTGTTTACAAACAGGGATGTGTTATTGCCCCAACTTTATTCTCCATCTTCACTGCTATGATACTTCACCTTGGTGATGGGAAGCTTCCCACCGGAGTGGAAATCATCTATAGGACAGATGGCAAGCTATTCA